GAAAGGTTTTACCTATGCAGCGACAAAATTATCTGTTTATTCTGTTATTATTTAGACACGATAGTCTATTGTCAATTGTTCAAATGATTTTGCTTTAGTCATCTTCAGAACCATTATCATTTGCATAAAAATTGAATACGTTGTAGCGTGCATCAGATGATATCCGCATTAGAAAACAATTCCAATAGTCAACAATCAATGCTACAACCCCCACAGCAAGCTAATCAACCGGAAGAAGTGTGTTTCTCTTTTTTTTGAGTAACGCATTTTAAATCGAATAAAAAAAAGCTATCAGCAGTTGTTATCAATATAGTGTGTAAATTGATTTCTCCATACTGCGCATTTGCACATCGTTTAAATGCCGAATCTATAAAATAATGAATGATAAAGATTTCCTTTTATACTATATAAAAGAATCTGAGGCATTTTTTGGACTTCAGTTGTCCACATATTTCACTTTTCTTAATTTAATTTCTTGGACAGTTTTCATCTTATGCGATAATAGACATTGCTTGGTCTTTAAATGAGGTATGGTTTCCAGAAGTGAGATTATACTTTTTAGAATGCAGTTTCATTCCGTGATATATTCAATCTTCTATTCCCAAAAAAGTTTATTAGTTACTTATTTCGCTGTTTGAATGCACCAATTTGCGATCCATTCAAACTTTTTATTTTATTTCTATCAAATACATTGCAAAGTAATAGATAAACGCCAAGTTTATATCTAAGGTGACTTAAGCATATATTATACTATCTGATGTTCAAAATTGTCGGATTTTAGGCTCTTGCTGGTGAACCAAATTTGGCTGCAGCACCTGCTGCAGGTGGTATAGTTCAAGAAGCAATAGCTGGTGATGTGGATGGTCAGCAACGAGACTTTCTAGATGTCATTTACAAGGTATGTGAGATTCGTCGGCAGCGCTGAGATGTAGTTTTTTTCCGGGAATGATCAGCAGCAAAAATTTGAAGATAAAATCTGCGGAAAATATGCTAAAAAACTTCTACAGAATTCACCATGGAAAATTCTAGGCAATCCGGATGTGCTTTCTGATAATGTTAGTATATGTGTATTCATCTGCGGAACGATTTTTTGGTGTACTGATATTTATCTTGCTGGTTTGGTTCATCCAAGCAAGACGTGATCGTAATAATCGTGAAAGAGCGAATAGAGAACTTGCTGCTGCCATTGATAATGTTCGTCAACCGCAACAGGTATGCCAAAGCTTAAGAAAATTTTCCAAAAAAGAATTTCACTCTCATTGGAACTGTCTGAAGCATTCTACATACATCAAATGTTATAAGTGAGAAAAAAATGAAAGTTTGATTGTCAGCTTAACTACACACTTATTTTTCTTTTCTTCACCTGTTAGTTATTTGGAACTAATATACCATTTATGGAATATTGATTACACTGTGCTCTTTTATTTATAAATCTTCTAAATAATATTGATCCTTTAAATAATATTAAAAATTTTAATAAAAACAGCTTTAAATGACTACTAGTACAGAGAAAATTTCAAATCCTTGTGATAAAACGAATCCTTTGGCCACTCCAGGCCGATGCCAATCAAGATTATGGTACAGAGGACACAAACGAAGTATTGGCGACTGGAATTGAAGAGGAACCACGAGAACCGACTGCGTGGGTCGTTTTCTGGAGCACTTGCTACACGTTCATCACATCCTTTTTCTCATCACTTATCCCGGACAATCCACTACCTGTTAATATCAATTAAATATATTTTCTAAATATGTTCTTTCTTCTTGTATAGTATTTTAAAATAACTAACGAATGGCAAGGTATTCTTGCCTTATATTTCAGAGAAACGAAATGAGATGACTAAAAGATTCCGAGTCCCTTCAGCTTAAAATTTTGGGGGAATCATTTAAAATTATTAAGCAGACTGTGTAACTGCTACGGATTTCTTTCATTGTTTATTTCAGTTCTAAATAGTTGTCCTGCTAAAGTTGTTCCTTTTTCTATTTTAATAAACGGCATTGCTGAACCAACAAATTTGACTGATTTCTTTTTTCAACCATTACTACACTTATTTTATAGTATTGTGGTCGTGAGAATAACTTGGCCTTAACAAAACATTCAAGAAATCGCTTAGATCGAACTATAAATTTTTAATTATATTTTGAGAAAGAAGTCTGAAAAATGATGATATGATTAAGCACCAGGAGGATTTTACGAGATTGAATCTATCTGAAGAAAATATTTCTCAGGCATACTATGTATGTTACAAGTATAGATTAGTGATAAGTTTGGAAATTAGAGGCGTTCTGAATCAAGCCGAAAATCGAATATTTTACAAATATTTTTAAGAATCCTTGTGTTTTAAACCTCAGTTAACTGCTCATACCACATCTAGAACTATAAAATGTTACGGCAAGTGGTTCATGTATCTGAAAAATAGTGAAACAAAGAGGTGATAGGGGATCAAATGCTCATGGAGGGTGAGGTTTTGAAAATGGACAGTTAACATGACAAATATATATATGTATATATATATATATATATATCTTTCTATACACTAATTTAATTTAGAGTTTCAGTTTTACAGCAAATTTTATTTCTCAAATCACTTAATCTTCCAAGTGCGAACATAGAAAGATGTCGACGAGACGAGCAAGCTAGAGAGAGTCGAAGTCTCGAAAAGTCCAAAAAGCATGGATTTAGAGGCTTCTACATCTTTAAGAAACAATAAAACAGAGGCAGGCAAAATCCCACTTTGCGATATCTCTGAGTAGTGGTGTATGCTGCTTGCGAAATAAAGCCCGTCTGATTTTAATAGTTTAAAAGAGTTTAAAGAGGTTTTTTGATATAAATTAAACTCCTGAAGTAATGAAATGCTGAGTCGGAAGTTATCCATTTGTGGCGATGTCACTACCTCAGCTGTTTAATCTGCGCTAAAACTTTAGATAATTCAAGAAATTAGCAATAAATAGCGAAGAAATGATAAAAGATGTTTCCTTAGCTTATCTTTAATGGTAATGTAAAACAAATTGAAACAATCTGTATGAATATGGTTTATTTGACCCGTCGTTTTAGCAAATTTACTTCTTACTCTATTTTTAATTTTATTCTGTCGTACACATAATACGGTAAATGATCTATCCATCAGTCTGTTTGCAGTGAATTTGTTATCTTAAAAAGTAGGGAAAACGAAAGCAATAACTGCTGAGTTATTCTTAGTGCAATGCATATATATTCTAGAAATGTTTAGTCAAAACTTTATTCAAAAAAAAAAAAGAATTTTGTGAACTCCTTGTACAGCTTCTTTTCTCAATTTTTCTTTTTTTCTTTTTCCACGGATTTTTCCACCTTGCTTTATTTGAACTGTTTGCTGAAACATTACTAGCACAGAAAACTTCTTTCTTTAATACATGAAATGAAGCATGTTTGCAAACAGGTCGTAATTGGTTTGCATGTAGTTTGTGGACACTGGTTTGTAATTAATTTGTAATCATAATTGGAGATTTAAAGCAATTTAAGCCATGACTGCAATTAATTTAGCAGGGATGTTCATGTACACACGATTTTAATGTCACACAAAATAATACACACGAAGTATATTTTCAAATTAAACCAAGGAGAGCTCATTTCACCTTGAAAAACATGTTGAAAATGCACAAATCATGTCACTTCTTCAACATTTTATAGCTTTTATCTGCATCTTTTGATTATCAAAACAGAAGAATTATGATCATATTCACTGGAAGCTAATGGAAATCTGCCAGTCCTTTGAAGTTTCAGCGGGAAAGCGAGGAAAGAATACGAGAATTTTGCTTATAATATTTCAAAGGGGAAGATGATTCCAATGTGATCAAAAGGGTCTGTTTTACAATTTTCTTGACAATTTTATATTCAGCAAAATCCGACATGCCTTCCGAAATTCCTTTTCTGTTATAAACCTCCATCCAAATCGTCAGAAAAGGAATTTTTGATTTAAAGATAACGGAAAAATTTTTTTAAATGCTGACTCAGATGTCATTTATGATGAAACAAGACTTGGCTAGAAATAAGACAGTACATTACTTCGGGATCAACTGCTGCAAAGCATTTTTTCGGGTTATCGAAATCAGACCGCTATTTCGTTTCCAATATTTGATCAAACTACTCAACAGCATTCAACAACAGAAGATGCAATGGAACTAACCATACGTCCAAGAATATCATTTTCATTTTGAAAGGAATTTGACCTCACTGTAATCTAGGGAAAGTTGTATAAAAAAGATACTATGAGATAAAGAATAACAACGAAATATTATGACTCAAGTAGTTTTGGAATGAGTTGGAGGGGGACGAAACCACTAAGTAGTGTTCCATCGTAAAAGTTAATTCTTCAGTAGAAGCCTAAATTCACTTTACAGTCAGTTCTGAGTGAAACATAACCCTCGTGAGCTAAATATCAAAATATTTACAGCTAAATATCTTGAAGGAAAGTTTGGAACATCAAAACAAGTTATTCTTTGTTCTCGACTTGTTTTTCATGTCTGGAATAATGGGCTACACACCTCCAGCAACATATTTAATCCTAGGAAAAACCAAACAGCTGTATCACTACTTAACTTATTTTAAAACTAAATAGAGAGAAAAAATTAACATGCGGGATATTTTTAAATGATATTGCATCCTTTACTTCCTGCATTGTTTGTGGTCAACAACATGAAAAGGAAATACTTCATTATAAAAACAAGAGTTTAAACGGAGTTTTTTTTTTTAATTTAAAAGATGACTTATAACAAATTCATGAAAAAAAGTCATAAATGCACTGTCCTTCCGTAACATCGATAAAGAAATTATAGCCAATAAGTGATTTAGGCAAAAGCATATGTTACAAAGTTTAAAATATTAATGGTACAGAATGCAATCCATTTTAGAAAAAACTGCTGCAAATTTTGTGAAATAAATTAACAGGAACCACTCACACACGAACTAAGTGCAGTGAATTGTCACAAATACCGTTTTAAAACAACGGAAATTTAAAAGATGCTTAAAAGGAAACAGCAAACGGTGAGCCTGGCACATCCACATCGCCGTATTTGATATAAATAAAACCTTTGACCTCTTCCTGAATAAGATACTTGACTACATATTGGCCATTACCAAGATGTTGTAGTGCAACTTGTTCACAAGGTCCCTTCGATGTAAGTAGACCAACATACAAAATATTGTCTCCTTAACAAGTTGTTAACTTTATCAGTTACTTTCCGAATTCACTATTCTTTGAAATTGAAATATCCATAAATACTACTATGATATTCTTTCTTTACCAGCTCTATTTAATGGCCATCTATCGTTTATATAAAAAAAGGTCGCATATTTAAAGCATTTATCAAGAAAAAAACAAACCTGCGAGACCAGTGTCGACATTGAAGACCGCCGACTGACCAGGAAAAAATTTACTGAGACCAGAACCCTTCACTATAACTTTGTTCGCATCTCCGGAAAGAATTGGAACTCGATGAACTACTTCTTTCTTAATTTTAGGGAACGCATCAATCTAAAATATTCCCTTATATTTCTTTTCAAAGATTAAAAAAATACCATCAACTGTTTGCTCTTTCAGCTATAAACTAATGATAAAACAGCATGAAGGCAAAATAACCTTGATTAATGAAAAGTCTGGTTTGCCATCATCAAGTTTTTTACCTTCCACAACTACTTTGAACGGGGAACCAGGAATATGAACACCTATAAAAGGATACAAGTTAAAGATACAAGCCAGAGAAAAGGAATATAAGATGATAGTTAGAAAAGTGTGAAAAATAACTGAACACAAAATTTAAAGTGATTGTAGGTCTCTAAATCTGACATCATTGCGAAAAATAAAAAAAAACCTGAATATTTGATAGTCACATAGTAGGGTCCAGGCACTGCTGCAACGTAGAACACTTTGTAGCCTTGTTCCACATGAAAAACAAATAATCATTAGTTGAAAATTGGACGATGACTGGAATAATGTTGACATGAAAACAAATATAACTTGCCGAATCGCAATAGGTTCCATTTTTTTCTAATCACTTTTTAATATTATTCAAATTATTAAATTCTGGATATCTTCGAAGAAAATTATGAAACATAGAAATCTGATTAGGAAATACCTTCCGACAGTGATCGGTGGTTTATAAAAATCCACCAATAATTTCACCTGCTTGAAAGTGACTAACAGCGAAATGAAATGAAAATGAATGAACGCTAACTTCACATGCATTCATAGTAACTTTTGATGGTCCACTAATCAGAATATGGAGAAGTCCTGCTCCAGCATTACAAGTATTGATAATAAATTTACAGATTTGGCCAGTTTGACCACCGTGAATACCGTCGCCAGTCACAGTTATTATTGATGGATCATTATCTCCATTTGTCCCAATTCGGAAACAGAAAGGTGAGTCATGCATAGGTGCACCATCAAGCGTTACATCAACGTAATAGTCTCCAGTCTAGAAACTGCTAATTGAAAGCAAGAATAAATGTGAGGTTTCTTAGAATATATGGAAAAGAGAAACTTATCATCCTAATATCATATGAAACTAAAATTGAACAAAAACAAAAATAAAAAAAAAAAAAAAACATAAAACCAAAAACGAAAACCTCTGAAGGAATGAATCGGACGCAGTACAAATCGCTTCCCTCAACTGGGAGGACATCGACTGCTTCAATCTTGTTGGCCGGTGTATGAAGCTTTGCTTTAAGATGACCTTTTGCACCATTCCTATTTATCATAATAGCACATATTTCACCTGGTGTTCCAGAATCCGCGAGTGATATTAATTCCAAGCAGCGGGCTTCCCCAGCTGCAGGAGCAATAAACACCTCAAAAACCAAAGTTGGCATAAGATTACAAAATAACGAATCATTCCATCATATATGATCAAACTATAATTTCCAATAATCTAAAAATTTAAACGAAGTGAGAATTATGAACTTTGAATGGTGAATCCGGTATATGCTCAGCATTGAATTTGACTGATATAAGGTATTCTCCTGGCTTCGCAACTTTATAATCGAAATGGCAATTTCCATCCTGAAAAAGTGGTGGTCAAAAGTCATTCTGCATTCAGATTAGTAATTCTAAAATTTTTAGATTTAATAATTAAGAAACCAACAAAACTGCAAAGAATTTACTAAACTTGTCAAGAAGGAAACCAAAAACCCGAGAAACCCGACAAAAACTCCGGACGGCACACGGCATCATTTACAAGTTGTTTCCTGCTATCTGAAGTTGTAATCTTACTGTAGTCCTCAGCAAAACTTGCTGGAGCAGAAAAAAAGTACGTGTTCTTCACACTGTTTGCTCCGGCAATTACATTATCAAATTCCTATTTCTGCGCAAAAAAATTTCACCTCATGTTCATGGAACTGTAATTCAGCTTTTGATGGTCCTTCTACCGTTACTTCAAGTTCTCCTTTTCCAGCCTCTCGGGTATAAAGATTGAAAGATTGTTTCCTGCTAGCTTCTGCTCGCTTCAATCTGACTCCTGCTGCCCGTACCCTATGTGCACCCATTTCTTTCATGTGTCCTACGGTGAACTGGAAGGGACTACCTATAAAAAAAAATTAATTTTCTGAATTGTTAAAAATTTTCACTCTTCAACTTTCCAGATCTCGATAAACTGATGTGTACTAATAAGTCTACCTGAAATGTGTTGTCCTTTATACAGAACAGAAACTGCATGTGGACCATTCACTACAGGTTTGAATTCAATCCGATAAAGATCGTCACCAAGATCACAAACTTTAACATCTTTGCTGTATCCATTGGGATCAACGACTCTTGCTTTTGTGTCCAATGATGATATGTTTTTCAATTGCAAATACAGGGCAGTGTCTTGTCCAGGTAGAACTACTGGAACCTAATGATAAAACGGAATATAATCAAGGTCATCATATATCATCTATCATCGTGGTTATATGGGAGCATAATAACTCATGAAGATCAATTTCAGCACAATTCATCACGTTACACATATTTGCAGTGTTCATCCCTTATCTAAATTTCATAAAACATATGTAACCTGTTTCACTTTCTTATTTGCGCTTTCTTTCACGATACCCATTCCTTTTCCGGTGCAGTTAATCCTGAACGGACTATCTAAAATCAAATTCCACAAATTTTTTCATAAAGACACAATTACAACACTATGGACAGAAATAATGAAGTTAGTACTAACTAACCATTTATATGAGCACCAGCAAATTTTACAGATAAAATGTAAATTCCAGGTTCGGTAGGTCTATAAACAATATTAGCTACACCTTCTTTATTTTCAATACACCTTAATTCAGCTTCCGACGGTCCCTGAATTGATACAGACAAATCACCAAAACCTGAAAAACTGAATTAAAGCATGCTGCTAAGATAAAGAAAAATGACCTGGTGATTCACTGCTTATGAAGGGAGGGAAATGTTGTTAGAAACAAAAGTGTTATTAAATCAATATGAAGGTACGAACTCTATCCGAACGAACTTTATAAGGGAAGAGTTTGGGTTTCGTTCTTCACTTCAAACAAGAACTTAAGATGAAGACGTTTTGAAGCGATAGAGCAAACTTTACCAGCATCACGCATATTGATTTGTACACTGTTGTCCTGCTCACAAATAGCATTTGCTTTACCTGTTCCACTAACAACAACTTTAGACGCTTCTCCAGGCTAGAACAAGCCACAAATCGTAAGTCATTTGTTTCCCCTTACAATGTGCAATTACAGATGTTGAGAAAAAGTTACACACTCACTTGGTTTCTAATAATTTCAGCTTGGAAATTCGATTTTTGTATAACTTGTTCATTCTTTTTAATAGTGATCAAATGTTCACCCACTTCACATGGAGAGAATGAGATACCTGAAATTTGTTACTGTATGAGAATGATTCATGCCTACTAAGAGATTAAGTTATTAATCTGCTCAACTACTATACATCATGAATCATTCTTTATTAGATTGTATATAAGGCAAACTGTTTTCAAGTTAGTCTTTTGAAATTGTCTAAAACTTCCATTGTTTTATTCCAGTAGATATTGAGGTCGGCAACTTTCTTGCTCTCGAACTAAGCTTCAAAACTCGACTATTTTTCAATCTAATCAGATGCCAAAAAATAATAGTAGGAGAAAATGTATTTAGATTTATCAAAAGAGCAAATTAAAAGAAATTATTCAATTTTTCTACAAAGAAGTGATGTTGACAAGACATTTTCGGCATCTAAATGCTTGAAATTAAAAGAGCCACTGAACAGTCAAATGGCAAATAATTGCTGAGAGACGAATTTGTCCAGAAAACTTCCAGAAAAACAATTATAAAAGACACGGGCTGAAAAGTTAAAAACCAGGTGCTACCTAGATTCATTTAACGTCTATAACTCTTAATGAAAGATTTCAATTTTCATGCTTTTCCGATAAATTTATATATTAATACAGAGGTCGAGAGTATCTGTATACTACTATTCGCACAGCTAGCAGCTACTAGTTTTGTGATTAGATGTTGGTTACAGTATCTTCAACTCGCACTGGCTAAGAAAGAAGATTGAGTTTTCTTCTACAATGTATAATCACACTGAGGTCGACAATGTTTTTGCTTAATGACTTTTTCCAGAAGATAAATCATTTCTTCAGTTATATCCTGATCATTTGGAGAGAAAATGTTTCAAAAAATATTTTCCAAAAATCTTGAAAAGGAAAGAATGAGTGACGCTAAAATAAGCAAGCATATTTCTTGTTTACAAAAGAAAGCTACTTTGATTAATGAATAATGATTGCGTGAAAGTGTTAAATGTTACACCTAGTAAAATAATTTGAGGTCATGATCGAAACAACAATTATTTTCACATTAATATTAAGTATTTTAAATGCAGAGGATCCAGACAAGGGTAAAAATAATTGCCTGTTGGCTCGGCTGGAAGTTTTCAAGATAGCAGTACCCGGTCACGCTATTGGTAAAGCATTTTTTTGGAATTTCAGGAAGCTTTTTTAGATTCCAAATTGTTGATGTCATCTAATCTTATTGACGATTACTACAATTAACATCTTCTCAAGTCTATATGCAGCTTCCGCAAAAGGTAAAAAGACAACGACTCCATTTAATTTTAACATTCAACCACCATGCAGAAAGAAACAAAAAGTGAAAAAGAGTACCGACGTGGGCTGCATCAATCTGACGGATGATGCATGGCTCTTCAATCCCACTTGGATTTATTACTGATGCTGAGAGGTCTTCAATTTCAGCATTGTCAATATTAATTAAGATCTGAAATTTTGAAATAAATAGTATTAAATAACACCAAAATGTAAAATAGAAGAATATAACTAAATATAACACTCGAAATCTAATAAATACGAATAGCTTGTTATATTTGAACTTGAAGCTTTCCAGGGTAAAATCGATACTGAGAAATCAATTTGCTTGTGAACATAGACGTTGCTTAGCTCAATTCAGAATGCTAAATCTGACAAGAAAATTTTTGTACAGGAATAGTGTAAATAAGTTATATTGCATAAACCTCCGACATTGCTGTTGGTTCAAGGGACAAATGCGCTCGCTTTTGATCTTCATTTGCCACAAATACAACGAAGGGAGAATTTTTCACTGGTTTTCCGGAAAGTTTCACATGTACTTTGTATTCTCCAGCCATAGAGGGTATCCATACTACAGAACATGTGCCATCCTGTAAGGAATTATTACCAACATCCAAAAATAGAAGTTCCACATAGAAAATCAATATAATTACCTTATTATCATGACATTTGATTACAGCTTTTGCTGTACCTTCAATAGCAACAGACAACTCTTTAGTGGGTGAACCTTTCGCACAAACTGTAAATACTGCTGGTTCACCGACAACCGCCTGTAATAAGCCAAGACCATATACTGTCGCATATTCCTCATTTGCTTCATTCACATAAAATGAAATTGGACTTCCAGACATGTTAATGCCATCGTGTTTTATTGACAACAAATGACTGCCACACTCTTTCGGATGATATGTAACCGTCACAGTTCCATCCCTATTATCCTATAAATAAAACCATCAACACAAATTATTTCCATTATCAACAAACATTTCAAAAGCATAAACCTCCTAATATAGAAATTTATACGGTTGTCTAAAGTTATTCCTTCTTTCTAAAGTTTTTTATGTAATTTTATTAAAATAAAGAAAACAGTGCTGCAAAATTTCAAAAAGACTTCTATAATAATTTCTTGCTCTAAGAAAGAAGTGCTGTTCAAACCTATTTAAACAGCTAGCTTAAATATTTCAAATGAACTTAAGTGCGACGTAACTCACGTTAATGAAGGCTATATCATCTGTACCAGAAGGCATTTTAACGGAAGCAGTAAGTTTGTTAAACTGATATTCCGAAGTAACAGAAAAACGAAAACTGCGAGACATCAGATGTCCGTCATCTTCAGACTCCACTGGCTGTTTAGAAACATTACTGTTTTCATTCACAAGAGATGGAACACACTGAAAATACTCCGAATTTCCTCCAAAATTGTCTAAGATTGTCAATTATATCCTCTTACTGCCCTTTTCTATCAAAAATTCTCTTTTTTCAAATAATCATCACTTACGAATAAAACACTCGTAATAAACAATGTTCAATTTTAAAACAGAAACCTCAAAATCGAATGTCCCGCCAGGTATATCAACACCTCCATACATCAACATAACTCGATGCTGTCCTTGAGCGTGTGGCGTAAGTGTTACAGTGTAAGAGCCATCCTCATTCTTGTCAATTTTTGTTTCCAAGTCAACTCTTTCAGAGAGAACGTTTAATGCTCCTTCTCCTCCATTTTTAGCATTCACTACAAAAACTCTTGGCTCCCCAATAGTCCAGAACTTGTCAAGTGACTTCGCTGAAACAACTTACAGTAGAACAAAAAAGTGTCCACTAAAACCCGAGGACAATAAGATAGTTGTCCCAAAAACACCTTAAATGAAAGTACGTCACTACTATGATCTCTTAAAGCATATCTCATCCATTAAAAAAAAAAAAATCAAGACATAGGTCTCAAATTTAAGATGTATTTAAATTTGCAGTTTTTATACATATTGCAATGTTTAGTTAAAAACCTTACATTCCACGAAGCATTTATCTGCTGAACCCACTGGTATAGCAGTTAAGTTATACGGATCCGAAAATGGTTCCCCATTGATGTATATTACAATAACATATACGCCTACCAGGTCCGGCACGAAGTTCAATAAGTATATTTTCTTGTCAGAGTTTTCGGTGAGTAGTAATTTCCGCACCTTGCCATCCGGACCCTACAATATTCGAAACTGAAAAATCAAAGTCTTTTTCTTGTTTACAAAAACGATATGGTTAGAATGCGTCAATTGATTTATTTACAAAAATGTTGGACAAAAAAACAAAAAAGTACTAAGGACTATCAACAGGTACCATTTTTATTTTCATTTTTTTGCAAGCCACTCCAGCGGAAAGTTTTGACATTTCAGAGATTAACATGTATAAATAATGTGACATTATCACAAGCATTGTTTTCTTTTATGATTATTTTAGAGATGAGATAATTATTGTTAGTTAATGTAAAAATATCGAATTAAATTGCTTCGCATTTCTTTTTCCGTTTCATCATTAATTGAAATTGATATTAAATAATATTAGAAATTCTCTTCCATTTCCTGCCCTCCCGCTTATCCTGCTGCTCCTTTCTTTCCCTCTCCCTGTATAATTTGAATATAAAATAATTTGACTTCAAGATCGTGGCGCTAAAATTAAACCAGGTACATATGGAGATTGCTGGGCGCTAAAGTCAACACTTATGGCAATGCCCCTTCAATGAGCAAAGATTTGTTCTGTTTTATATGTAAAAAAAGACAAAAACGGAATTTATGCAAATTATATGCATTGATGAATATATATATATATAGGCATGGTCATAAAAATATAAAAGCTAATGATTGCATAAAATTGGTTAAACTGCTGGAACCAACTGCTCTAACCACAATTCGTAATATCAGTAGGTTAACACTAAATTTTGTTAAATCATCGGAACTAATATTACAAAAATGTCTCACTTTTATTTCCGCAAACAGTTCATCAATTTTCCCAGCTTTCGTAACATCAATCAGAGCTTCAAATTGAAGGGAGGCTTGCACTGTTGACGATAGCAAGCCACCAGAACAATTTCTCAATATCACGGATTCTAATTCTTCTTCAGGTTTGACTAAGAAAACTATCGGTCTGGAAAAAATGTACAGTAGCCGATCTTCTTATATTCAAAGTGATATAGTTTAGACGAACAATTAAAACATTTTAGAATAATATATGCAAAATAGAAAATCATTACTTCCCAAGAAGTTCGTCCCCATACAAAAGTTCCAATGTTATTGTTTCACTTGTAATGCTTGGGATGAAAGTAACTCGATATACTCGAGGTTTGATTTCTTCAACAATTGGCTGTTCGAAACCGGCAGGAAGACGCGCACTTACTGGTTCTAATGCAGTAAGCGTAGCATCAATAATAAGCGAATTTGGCATTCTAGCTTGAACTAGTCCATTAGTGCTTCCGCTTATTACAATTTTCGATGGATTACGCTCATAATCGGCTATTACCATGAATGGAGAACCTTTAAAAAAACTGATAATTTTTAAATCCTATTTAATTTCCACAAGCTCAATATCATAAGTGATTTCCAGTGGACTTAAAAAATATTTTATAGTGCATGAGCAACGGAAAATCATATACCACAAATCAGTCATAGAAATAGAAAACCTGGGATTTGTTTTTTTTTGTCTCCATAATAAATCATTATTTCATACAACCCGGGAGTTTCTGGAATGTACTCCACTGTGCACAAACCATTCAAATTATCCATTACATTCACTTCCACTTCTGAGGGTCCCTTGATCGCCACTTCCATTTTGCTCTTTCCAGCATCCTCAAAATTATAATAATTACACTGAATGAACACATTAACACAAATTTAATTGGTGATATAATATACAAAGCTGCTCCTCTGTAGTTATTTCTGCCATTTTCATTTCACGTCTAATTTTAAGACGTAGAAGTATAACTTTTACGTCTTAAAATTAGAACTCTTCAATGGATTTTATAATAACAATCACTGTTATTACTCCTAACATATAGCAGCAGTACCTAAATCAGCTCACATCTGCTTATATATACATACTGCTTATAGCTCGAATTCAGGCTTAAATTACAAATAATCAACATAAATCGGATTCTACATTACCTTTATATCGACTAGAAATTTCGCTGGCATACCAACAACAGCACGTTCAAGTCCTTCACCAAGGGCTCGGCATTTAGTTATGTCCTCGCTGTGTCGAGCACTAATTAGATATTCACAAACTACATTTTCATCAAAAAGAACACATATTTTGGTTTTCCCTAATCTTTTGGCTGTCCAGAAGCCTGAAAATTGTTTACCAATAACATTTCTTATGATTAACTGGTGAAACAAGTCCAAAGATTAGAAAAGAATTTGTAAAGAATATTACCTCTGTAAATGTGTGAATTATGCTCACATTCTAAAGATAGCAAATACTTTGATCTATCAACTTTTCCAATATCCTCCACAATAACTTCCAAACCATTCTTCATAGGTATCAAGTTTCCAATATCAATAACAATATCTTTCCTCTGTCCAACTGTTACAGTTTCTGAGTTATTAAACAAATACAAGTATTTTTAAACGCTGTTAAGAAATTGCATATATAGTGAAACAAAAGACAGTCGAGAAGATTAAAATTACTAAATATCCTTCAGACCCTTGTAATTGCTAACCATTACTGAGACCATCCACCAAAATCGAAGAGATATCCGTTCCTTCAACTGCTACAACTTTGGTCCTTGCCAGTTTAGCTGAGTCACCAGATGCAATGTCACGAACTGTTGCCATAATCTGTAACAACCAATTTATATATTTTAAGTGCATCAAGATAACATGACGAATCTATAGTTTACGTAAGTTGGACAAATATTAAGATAACCTCATGTTCGCCTGGTGTTTCTGGTTGATATCCGAATTCATAAACAGTTCCTGAAAGCTGACGTTGAATACAACGAATTGAAGATCCATTCGGCCCTTTGATAATGATTTCCGGAACTATCATTGCATCACGAGTTTGAAGTTTAAATATGGTGCTGACTCCTACTACTGGTCTCAATACAACATCATGAAGTCGACCAAGTAATGGAGTATACTTCGCACCAGGGAACTGCGAAAGATAAGTCATAACACTTTTCTCATCAACAGCCGGACTGATCAATTCCTCTGGTTCAATAAGCTGAAAAATTGAGAAAAGAATGATCATACTTCAAGAAAATAAAAATCAGATATGTAATATATATCAAACTACAGTTACACATTTGTTTTCAGCCAGTTCATGTAACTCAAGAATGTAACATACTGCAGTAACACCAAGATAATCGCTAGCAAGCCTCATTGCAGTAAGAGTTGACTGCAAAGCCTGCGATGGTAACCATTTTCGCCAATCAACTTCCAAATCTGGAGCACAAGAATCAACCTGAAAAAAATTCCACATTAAATCATGTAGAGAAAAAAGACTACTGCAATATAAAATCATACCAAAGCACCAAGGAGAATCCCATCGTTCCAATCAAAGGTGAAATTGGTTACAGAGAGTTCGACTGGTAACTTTGCTCTGAGCCATGTCAAGAGTTTTTCTTTCGCTGACATTTCACCATTTCCTAATTGACCACTTGGATGGTCCCAAACTTGTTTTGAAATGGAATAATGTAAAATAAGCGTCCATACGAGACCCAAAATCAGTTTTAGATTGCGGTCTGCTATTGCAGAACTATCTAAAAATGAGCAAACCATGAGACCTCATTTCCTCAAGACGATTTAGGGTATATTTTCACCTGCGAAATAATTAAGTCCAAAATAAGGATAAAACAAAGGACGTACCGATATTAACAAGTTTTATGTGTTCTTCGTTCTCCAAAAATTGCAGCGCAAGCGAGATATTTTCAAGTTTCTGATGACGAAATATGACCTTTTTATTATGTCGACCAAACGACTTCCCAGAAAGTACTTCAACCAAACGTATTAATTTCAAACCCTCTTCAAAATCGGTTTCCTGAAGAATACTTTATAGCAAATATTGCAAGAGGATGAATAGAAGTAAAGCACACGATGAAATACTACAAAACAATTCATGCATTCTTAAAGCATACCAAATCAGACACCGTTACATCCACTTGTTCTAATTTCTGCCTAACCCATCGAGTGAAAGTATTCAGTTGAATTCTCTTCCACGTTGCGTCGTGTTGCTGTTCGATCATAGTTAACTGCAATGAAACGCACCTTCACATTCATAATCTTGGACTTCCAACTTAAAATCGCTTTGAAAACATACTCCCCGGACAATTTTACTTATTTTTATGACTTATCAAATCTGCAAAAGTCATTAAATGATATTAGACAAGTAACTAAAATTGAATGAGTTAAATAAAATTTTAAAAAATGGAGAAAAAAAAATGAAATGAAATAATGAATGGAATTGAATTAATATAAATATTCAAAAAATATAAGATGATCATTTTGTATGACACACAAAAATTTTAAGCAAATATTAATCTGGATACGAAGAAAAAATTCTTGGTTTCTACTGCAATGCATTTAGTAACTACTATATAATTTTCCTTATCATCTATATGTAATATTCATTTATATGGAATTAACTGCGAAAAATTAATAGGAGAAAAGGATTAGGAGAAGAGAAACTGAAATAAGTGTAGCTGAATAGAAGACTTGTCCAGGTGATCGATTTCTACTGATCAGTACATACACTTGACACATTCCCGCCATTCTCAATCTAACTACAGTCTGCGGTAATGAGACGAGATCAAGGTGACAAGCAACTAACTTATCGAAGATCCATAGTGACGTGCAAATGCCCGTAATATATGCTTACTTGATATGAGCGGATTTGTCCTGTCCTTTTGATGCAGTCTGCGCATACATCCGCATCCCATCTCATCTGATCTGATCTCATCCACTATCATTTTTATTGCATTATCAAGTTGTATGCAATTTTGCTTACAATGAGACGAAGTTGATTGATTATTGAATAATGGATGAGATCGTTAATAGCTACTTCCTTTCCTAAAGTTATGCCTTTTCCGCACTCTTACATACTTTTTCTTCTCTTAAGAAGTTGTTGGTTTTTGTTTTGAAAGAAATATCATGTGATATATATCCATTGTACTGCGGGATATTTATATCTCTTCAAGCAACGATCGTATTATATTGTTAAGCGTCAACTTGATTTCTGCCTGGACTTTTGTGTTTTCTATCGAAATTGCTCCACATTACTGCAACTTATGAAAACGACAGGTTCATTCCCCATTCAAACATCATCAGTCCTTTAATTTAAAACTGCGTTGTTGTCCATCCCGTCACTGTCACATAACAAACATCCTACAAATAGTGATTGCAACACTCCAGCAGTGCAAAGCATTTTGGAAAAGGAATAGCAATTTGATTTAATAACAGAAGTGACTGAAATGTTTCTTTTTTGCATTATGTAATTTCAAGTCAGTTGTTGACTGAGGTTGCGAATCTTACTGCTTTTTCATGTACTTTTATAAAAATGTCAATCAACAAATTAGGCATTTGACCATTTTTTATTGAGGGGCCGGTCAAATCGATATGCAAATGAAGTAGGAGTTCAAACAGGATTGTTTCTGCCCTAACAAATCCAAACCAGTTCAGAAAGTTAACAATTTTTACTTAATTGCTATATGTTTAACAGCTGAAAATTTTTTAAGACATTTTTAAAACATTTTGATTTGCACAAGTGGATGATATCTATTTGCAATATGATTGGTTGAAATGACTTTTTAGCTTGGTTTATGCTCAAACACTTGTGTTTTTAATATTATATAAGTTCTGCGCAATAAGAGATATAATTGATCGATGTGGTATTCTTTTCTTCTCATGCGTATTTTTTCGCATTATTTTCGTTCTCAATTCATATTTCAAATGTTAAGGAATTAATAATGAGATAAAATGAAGCCCACATCAGTTAATCTGTGACGTAGTGTTCCTATGTCAAAGCTTTCATAGCCTTCATACATATCAAAATATCTCCAAAACATAATGCAAGTGGAAGAATGAGGTATTAACAATAGGTGCAGAAATCACAATAAGTCCAACATCGTGATTATGACAATAACAGCATTTATCTCCATGATTCCTAAAAATAAAATAATAGTCAGCTAGAAGTCAAAGACTTCATTGGAATAAATCCTCACATTATTTGTGGATTATCTTCAAAAGTACATGGGCTGTTTACCAATGTTAATAGTTTATTGATACCAGACTTTCCTTCTCAATTCCATCCAGTCGTTGTAGCTGTAATAGAAAGATTTTCTGAGCTAGGCTCTCAGGATTAACACCCACTTGTTTTATCGATCTTTGAATTATAAGATCTTCAAAAAAAAATTTCATGAAATTTCTGGTTTTCAAAATGGTGGATAAAATTCTTGAAACTCAGCTGAGAACTAGGAGTTGAACTAATCACGAGGAAACAAATATATTATAAATGAGAACAAGAATATATATAGGTACTTCATCTTACATTTCTTTGTTAAACAGGTATCAGTGTGAATCATAAATAATACATAAGCATGTGAACAACAACAACGGTATGTATAAAAAGTTACATGCATGGATGATGCTGGAAGATAATCCTCAATTGCAATATCAAAGTAATGAAGAACTAAATAATGCTAATTTTATTGTACCTTTCCTCACATCTCATAAAGTTAAAGATTATGAATTTAATTTTCAATAAGCATGGTGCAATGTTATTATTGAAAGTTAGTTTGATATTTCTTTTCAGAAGCAAAACCGGAAATAAGTCTCTGCTAATAAACGAGATACAATGTTGGCTTTGCTGTTCTGGAACAAAAATTGCGTTGATATGCTTGATGCATATAACATTAATTTTTGACTGTTGCGAGTAATGAGGATAATGAAAAGTGATGAAGATTGCGACAAATAAAGCATCTTTAAGAAATCACTTGTAAAAAAGCAGTTAGAAAAAAAGAACTGTAGAGAAAACAAATATAACAGCGTCATTTTGAAAAAAACATCATTTTGACAAGTCGATGTTGTTTTTTCTACCAGAAAGTCGGCAATCCGGAAAGTGGTCATAAAGAGACAAATTATCATTGTTCGAACTCTACTTGTCATGTCAATCAATTCAAAAGTGGTGGGATGCAAAGTAGATACTACAAATAACATCAATGTTATCTTCAAATTCAAAAAACAACAATAGGAAGTACAATTTCCTTCTCCTTAACAATTTTCTCCGCGATTCTTAAAAATTCAAGATGTTGTATTAAAGTAGTTCCAGGCTATAAATTCACTTTCGAAGTCACCAAATGATGAAAGTCCAATTCTTGAATGATTCTGCCAGAGAAGTCCAAGTTGTGTTCACATAATGAAAATCTAATATCTGCATAACTTAATCTCATTCTGTCACAACACTAACCTCAATCATCAATCTGTGGCAATTGTATCCGACTTTTTGCTGCTCTCTTACCAAAACAATAGACTTGAAGCATTATTAATAAATCGATTGTGATCTGAAAACTGTTAAGCTGTAGAACTCTTGAGCCTAGCAATAAGAATTAAACGTCAAAATACCCTGAAACAAAATCATCTGAAAAACACGTCCATTACGTAAATCCTATCCATGATCGAGCAAGTCCCAGAACCAAGTAAATATAATTATACATATTAAAAAGCATAAAATGATCACTGTAACTTGAATAAAAAGTAAACATACTAAGCATACGAATCTTGTGTTTTCTTTTCAAGTTTCGACAGATGAACTTAATTGAGATTTTCAAAAATATGTAAAATGAATTCAAAACTAACTTGTATTATACCACACAACCAAAATTGTGCTGGACTACTTTCATAGATAAAATAAACTGTTTTACCGCAATCTCCAATCATCCACACAAGTACCATGCCAATACTAAATATCTTGAATGTATTAAATTAATTTTGACAGAAACGACTTTTTCCTCACATCGTAATTTGAAAGAAAACAGCCTTTTATTTATTCGTGGATCAATACGTGATAGAATAGTTGCACAAATTTGTTAGCTCGTTCCTATTAGACAGGTCATAAATACAAGATCATTTTTAGCTGAACCTCATTCCCGATGTAGAGCGCCTTGAGCAATTCTGCTTTAGCTGAGGGAAACCCAGACATGCTTCGGAAAGTAAAGCAATTAGACCAAGAACTTCCACATATACCATATACTGCAAAAATGCACAAACAATTTCAGATTTTGACAAAAATACAGAAATAAGATCGAGACAGTACCGCAATCCTGTTTTTTAGTAAATTTTTGTCTCTTGTTTCTTTATTTGTTGATAACAGGTATGTTTTCATACCCCGCTCAGTAAGTACGTAAGTATAGACGAAAATACAGTGAAAGCAATTATTAGAGTGAAATAACTGGTGAGATCATTCCACTGCCAAAAATGGCTTATCAATTGACCAGCTAAAAAAAAATACTTGCTTTTTTAAACTAAATCTTCGTCATCAAAACTTCAGAAAAATAAAGGTAAATTAATTTTTTTGGAAAAAAGTTTTTTTTTTTTTAAATGATATAAAAAAGAAGTGATGAAAAGACTATTCAAACAAAAACATGAATACAAAGCAGACGAAAAAAGAAGTGAAAAGACTATGTTTTTCGAATTAAATGGGAAATTCCAGTTTGAGAGAAATTAAAACAAATTCTACGACATTAAAAATCAACTGAAAAAGCATCATATTATTGAACTAATAAAATTATAAAAATACTCCAGGCAGAGACACGTTGCGTTTTATATATATGTTTTCGATTTGTTCGCACCGATATTTCCAACATTAATATCATTGATACTAACATTACTATGCTTTGAGCAACAAGAGCTAATTCAAACCGCTTACCAAACCTGAAAAAGAAGACAAAGATAGCAAATAATAAATATATTGATATGTTGATGTCAGGAAATATTTTTTCTGGGTCAGTTAACACTGCTAACATCGTGATGGTCCAGGAACTTAATTAAATGATTGAAAGCATGAAAAATAAAATCAAAAAATCCGATTCTTACTAACCAAAACATAATTCGAAGTATATTCGCTATGAGCAACGTCAAGCAGACAAACAGTGAAAATCCACTGGCATCTTCTCGTTCATAAATTTCTTTGTATTGGAATACGTATGCTAATGAACCGCCAAATATTATAAAACCCTTAGTGAAAACGGTCAAAGATATGAAGAACAGTTTCTCCAGCGGAACAAGATCCATACCTGACCTGTATGATTTAAAAGATTAATAATTTAAATAATGGAAAAGATTAACAAGGAAGAACAATGAAAAGCAGAATAATAAATAAGGCTTTAAAAAAATCATCTAAATTAACAGAAGATGAATTAAATCAGCAAATAGATTGCACATAAATAAGTAAATACTAATAAACAGGTTAATAGCACAGCTTCATTAACAGTGAAGGAATAATGGGGTTTCAAGAAAATTTGACAATGTAAGTATAGAAAGTTAAAGGGAGGTTCTTACCTGCATTAAACGGAATTCTAGTATTAGCTTGTTATTGCAGGTGACCAAATATCCAACAGATCTCAATATTTGACAAGTACTTCCCACTGCTGTTATATAACTATGCACTAAATGATTCATTCCAGCAAAATGAAAAAGAAAAAAAAAAGTGAAAACAAACTTTTCAATGACGAACATTTTCTGCTTTTCAGTGGAAAGACTATCACAGCTAAATGATAGTAGAGATAGTTCAAGCTGAACTGTCGCTCTATATCGATGAAAAATCACTGTCTTTGAAGTTCTGTAGTATCAAGGATATGGACTAATCCATGCCATAGAATTCAATGATCAACAAACAAAGCAATTATTGGTACCTGCACCAAAAATCCCATAATTTTAAATTTCTGTCACTTTACTCACATCTTGTTCCTGAAATTCTATTTTTTTTCAAATATGGAAAGTAAAAAAAAAGCAGGAAAACGAAGGAAATCATTCAGATATGAAACATATGGTTGATGGTATAACGATTTTCATACTTTCATAGTGATAAATAACAGAAACTAGATTCCCATCTGATCCTTTGAAACCTTAGGACATAGTAATATCTTATTCCTCACTATTATTTTCTTTTCCCTCTTGCTACAGTCTAATTTTAACATATTTCAAACTGTTAAGAAATATCGTAATTGGAAGTACTTGTTTATGTATATTGATCAGATTTTCAGTGAAATCAATTGGGAAAGGAAGGACGTTGATTTGGAGAGGCTCAGTTGACATAAAGCATACAAAAACAATCAGTAAATTAATTCAATCGCAAAGTCATCATTTCCTTTACTCTTCCTTCTGTAACTTCATAAAACATTGAAAACACTGGTTTGTTAATATATCGATATGTGTGAAACGGTTTACAAAACAGAACCAAACTGATTATAGAAAAATATTTTCTAAAAAATATCCCGAACATGACATTTGTGTATCCGTTTGTGGTAAGTGAAGAAATAATTAATAGTGTTTCCAATTTAGCCGATATATATATATCAAAAGAGTCAAATACATTTCTGCACGATAATAAACAAAGATTTAAAATTACTTGAAAATTTTACACACCTAATGATACTTTTCAAATCACTAACTTTGAATAAAAAGAGAAACAATATCTTTTTCTTGAGATGCATATCAAACTATGCCTTCTATTTGATGTAGTTCATTTATACCCCTCTAATTTTTCAATGCAATTTTTCATTTATACTCTTCTAGCAAATCGATCCAATAAAAAGCTCATACTACCTCAGAATTGTTTCCATAAAATATTAATAAAAATTTTTAAGAAGGTTAATAGAGTAATTTTTTTATATCAGCTATAGTAGAATCACTTTATTTTTAAGGTCCTGTTTATTCCTCACATGGACATCTTTTGAAGCAGTGGATTATAAGTAATAAGCATCAATGCATGGTAACAGTGAACTGTGAAAGACTAATAGCAATCCAAAAATGAGCAGAAGGAATGGGAAAGTGAAATATGTACCTGAAAATTTGAACCAAGATAGTAACTTTAAGCATCATATCTTCAATGGGAAAAGCACTGAACTAGAAATATATTCATCGATTTCAGGTTTTTGAAAGTTCTGCAAGAAGATACCAACAGTAATCCTAAAGTATCTCTTACAGATTACGTGATTCAAACAAACTGATTAAATACATTTCATTGTCGTTATTTCCCGTTTAATAGAATAAGCAGTACATAAATTGGACGGAGAAGATATAAGTAGTAGAAATTAACTGAAGTGAGTGGAATGTTTCCGATCTAGATTTGCTAATAGATTAGACTATCACATTAAGATTTCTGAGATAAGGCAGTACTTTTACATTTCCGCACTGCTTACATTAACTTCTAATTATTGCTCGAAAAGTTTAATATCTATTTTTCGAACGCTGCAATCATTTCCCATTAGAGGAGTGAAATTCACCCATAAATTCCATAATTATTACATCAATTAATGTACGACATTCAAATTAAACATGCTGTACATATGGTATATTACTCATTGTCAGCTATTTATTACTTTGGCTACCAGGTAATTACCCAATTAAGAAAGGTCTTTTCCAAGAGCTTAACGGAAAACATATTATGTTACTAACAAGTTGTACTTTCTTTTATGATAATATTTATCATGGAAGTCGAAAAGAACCTACTTTTTCTGAATAGCAATAGTCATCAATGTCAAATACTTTTAAGATTAGCAGAATATCTAGTCACGCATCTCAATGCATCCTTTGAACTTACGTTCTGGCGCAGGGTATTTGGACCAGAAAGTTAATCAGAATATTTCGGAACTAGTAATTGCATTTAAAACATATCATTGGTAAGAAATAAGATGCGAAGCAAATGGAGTAAATAAAACACAGGAAAGGAAAAATCATCACTTAGTGTTGCACTATCTATCAGATATCTAACTTCATCCTCAATGCTACTTATTTTTTTCAAGAATGACTTTGGAATCTTGAATTTGTATGAAGAATTATAAGCTATTGAACAGAATACTACTTAAATTCCCGAAAAAAGCTTTTGAAAGCCCAAAATTGTTGGTCGTCAAAACTCTCTGAATGACGAATAATGAAGTCGATAAAAAAATTCAAGCGAAAATTTAAAATTCTCAAATAGAAAAGTGCAATAAATTATGCAACTGGGGCAATAAAGTGACATAGAAAAATGCACTTTTCATGAATAACATTATGGCAACACAACAGTTTATTTCACTTTGTTTGAGAAACCAAAACACTTTCATGACTTGTGGACAGATAAAAAGTCACATCAATGCAACTAAGTTGTCAACAAGTCACCGTCAAAAAGCATATATATGACAAAACAGTGTGCCACAGAAAAATATAGCTCTTGAGGGCTAATTTAATGTTTCCAGCAACAAAACACTTATTAATTTTATTGATTCCCATCAACTTTCATAAGTGAGAAAGTTACATAAGTTTTTTTCCCAAATCAAAGTGATACCACATAAAAAAGAAATCTATGTCAAGATCAACTTCCCGATTCTTACCAAATAAAGCTGCATATAGACTTGAGCTGAATAATGAAGAATGGTCATGGTACACTTCGCAGTTGATCTCAGAAAGTCCCTAGAATCTTATTCCCAAATGCTATGTATATCAAAAATTGAAGCATAATATCGTGTAAATTCAAAATGAAAATGAGAAAACCATAATCGAAGTAAAAACAAAAAGGACCATTATCAACGAAGCAACGGTTTTTATTGAAATTCTTTAGAAATTTTAATTCTAAATAAATATAAATCAGGATAAAGGAACAAATTACAGCGTTAAAACAGCATAACAGAAAGGAAGGAAATGCCATATTCGTCTGAGCCTAAAACGATGAGAGATACATGAGACCAAATCTCTTTCCTTAACTTACAAAAATTTAACAGTCAAATTGTTTGCTAAAGAAATAAGAACAACAGTAAGTTAAAACAAAACCTTTAAATTCACAATTTCAAATCCGTAAAAATTCACATCTTGAAGTCAGGAAATTCACATCCACAACTTCAAAACAGTGAAATATGTGTAATCATGGCGACACATGCACCCGATGTGGCGGCCTCACAATCAGTTTCCCACTCTGAAAGAACAACTAGTTTCTATAAATTCTTATAGCGGAACTAGCAAACCCATGCATATAAAGATAACAATAGAGAACTTACTGTGTTAGAATATATTTACTTCATTTTTTACTAAAAAGATTTGCGACAATCACATTATTTATGATATTATTATGAGAAATTTTAGCAATATTAAAAAGATAAAGTCGAGCTGTTGTTTGTTTAAAACAACATATCCATATACTGAAATATAACTTGCTTCTCTGTTCTAAAACAAAAAAAAATCACTTACTGTCATGAAACATTCATATTAAAAGAGAAATCTACATAATTATGAAGCTGAATAAAGAAAAATGAAATCTATCTAAGCGAAAACTAACATCATCACAGCTAAGACTGAAGTCTGCCAACACCGTACGACACCGTGAAGCAATGCTGAAATAAATATAGCAATAATATGTAGCAGTAAAACTTATGAGTATCAATACATGACCGGTGAGTGACGTTGATCAAAATCCAACTAATAATCCAAATATTTATAATTACACTGCACAAGATTCAGATGTTTTCATCCACATATATGTCATGCTTCGTCGAAATGGATTAAAAAACTATCTCAATATGAACAGTGAAATATGCGTAAGCACACTTCAAAGAAATAAAATATACAATCTAGAATATATCAAATTTTCTCAAGTCATTGCTTTGAAATAAGATGTTTGGTCAGTAGAATAGAAAAACTATAAAGAAAGAACTTTATAAAAAAATGGAAATAAAAATAAAACTTATAACTGAAGTGCGGTTAAGTGTCGTGTACAATAAAAGTTACTTTTTTGTTTCCATAATATATCTATGTGTAAAGCAAAATTTGAGTAATATATTAAAAATTCTCTTACTAATGAGTGTGCTTAAAATATATTCAATAATTTAACACCAATAAAGTTTCTGTAGCGAATCCTGTAGAATAGCACGTAAAAATGTTTTATTAGAGAATAAAGTTGAGATTTCAAATACACGAATTCGAGACAACTTGCAAAAGATTAGAATTATCCCATTAACAGATTTTATAGCAAAAAAATCCGTTGAAAAAACTAAAACACTGAAGAAAGTGCAATAATAAAACCAGAACCAACATGTTTGGAACCAAAAACTGTCATACTTGTTCAGTCATTCAGAACAGAATGCTTTCATAAGCAGGAAAGTGATTTCAGATGAGTATTTACAACTATTTGGGAATAAACTGAATATTTACACGTTATTTGAACGTGACTCACATAACCTGTACCATATGATTGTCCCATTACTCTAGTTTGATTCCAACATGATCCACGCTGCGCTGCGGCAGTCTACAACAATGAGAAACATCTCTTCTGATAACCACAGGATATGTGATAAACAAAATATGTCACGCAAGTATGCAAAATACAGACTGTTCAAAAACATAGAGTTCACGCATAAATAATATAAACCAACTTACATGCTTGGTGCAACAGCACGGTTATGTATTCCAATAAAGCCAAAGAGAAATAACAGTGAAGGCACACAAGCCGAAAAGACAAGATGATTTTGCAGTGATTCAACCAAAGTTACCTAGAAAATTTTGGAATTTACAAATCAAACCTTAAAAATAAATGCATAAGATAAAACAGAAAATCACTATGAATTTAAAAGATGCCAGTAACACGCACAGTACGTATAGAGGGATCCTTCAGCCAGAAGTAGGCGCTCCACAATGTGCATCCAAATGCAATTAATAACACCACTGAAATGTACATACTTAATCAAGAAAAATTCTAGAACTATCGACCCGTAGTAGAATGTGAAATCTTTACTGCCTATTGGACATAGAATGTTTTAATATAATACTAGTTGAAGCTCTTAAAAATGAATGAGGCATTTGATTTAAATAAGGAAAATAAAAGAGAAAAAAGAAAAATTCAGGAAAAAGAAACCAAGATAACGAGGACAAACGATGAAGGAAAAACACTATTACATTTAAAAATATTATTATATTTACTATCCAGTTTAAAATCTGGGCTCAAGTTTTTATTGCTTGCATATCAAACACAGATTAAATTCGAGAGTTAGTAAAATAATTCAGTCTAACACGAATTTTCAGAAATACATTTTAAAGCCATATTGGATTATTCATGCCGTAAAACTTATTCGTGGCAATAACTGCACAGCTTGACAGCAACGAAATATTTCAAGAAGACTACAGTGCAACGTACGCTTTATAATGGGGGGACGAAATCACCAGCAGTCCTTCTAATGGTTTAAATGTAATGATCTAATGCCCTTCTTAACAAGCCTACAAACAACATATTGCATTGGTTAACAACGCTCAGGTGATCTTTTAATTTTTTTGTTCGCAAGAAAATGCGAACTGTAAAGCATATGTTATAATGAAAATAATCATCAAACAACTTACATCGCCATCTTGTTGCAGCTGGTTGCATACTTTGAATCACTTCTGTCAGGCGCCTTTCAAAGTAACGCAAGTCTGCAGCAGACTTTATAAAAACAAATTAAGTTTTGATATCTAGTCAAGGTAAAGCTAAAATATCGAACACCTAACAAACTGCTTGTTGTCATCTTCTGGGCATCAAAGAAAATTTCAAATCCTCTTGTTTTATCAAATTCCAGGATCTGTTCTAATTCGTGACGAAAAGTAAAATACCTTCACAAGCTGCAGAAGTCTCATCCATGGTTTAACCAAAATACTCCTTGCTTCTACATTAGTCGAATTTGATAGCTTAATTGATACAATATAAGCTGAAGACAGTATAAATATAATGAAAACTGACGATATATAAGTGACAAAAAAAAATGACAAATATAATACAACAAACTCAAGCACCATAGAATTCAAACTCTAGCGACTGATGGGATTATTTAACGAATTCAAGCTGACGTTGCAGCTATAAGCAGCACTTTACCACGTAGTGTTTCACATATATCACGCTACTGTTCAGTTTTTAGAATGCCACACATTCATGATGATAGTGATACCCAAAATGATTGGATTTTTGGAAATTTTGAAAATGTACGAACAATCCTATCCTCACAGATAACGCTTACCCTGTCATACCCTAGTAAGATTTCTCGGGACCGGGCCATCAAGTCTAAATCACGAGAAAACATGGTCGTAAGAGTGAAGAATGAATCAGCAATTACGGTACTGGTTGGGAGTTCAAAAAATGAGTTGTGGTGATGATGATATAGCGGTGGTATTGGTAGATTATCACTCGAAATGAGTCAACATAAGCAATGATAGCTCTTTAATGATATACGGATGAAGATGCCATATGGAGTGAGTCGAGAAATACCGAGAGAGATTGCTTTTGTCTTTCGCTTTTTGCAGCACCGATTTTCGTAGCAGTGATAAGACATTTGAGTCGCTTTCTTGAATTTTTGTTAACTGACAGTGCTTCTTCCAGTCATTATCGTTTCAGCTGAATTCATTTCAGTCCATTTGTTCCTTGATTAACTTTATCGTTGGGTACTTAAAAGGGGGGATTTGATTGTGTTGATTGGAAAGTAAGAACTTCACATGAAAAGAATGTGGTTATGTTTTGTGGGACGAACTGTTCTTTATTTTCTCGAATTATTTTTGAATCCTTTTATTTTATTTTAGTGGGTTACAATTTGTTTAGATTATTGTTTCAAAAAGAGACGTTCCGGAATGTCATCATTAACACATCAAGATGAGTTTGTTTATACAGTTCCTCCGCATTCACTATTCTTATATTAGATTTTGTCTTCTTGATTCTTTCCAGCAGTCGATCTATTTGCTTAATAATTTGATTTTATTGGGCTTCGTTCGAATTGTTGGTACTCTCTCATTGAGGATCACGAATTACTGAAGTGCACTTGGTCATACTGTATCACATAAGAATTAATTTCTGACACTTCCGGCTATGTTATTTATCAAGACCAGAATGAATTATACCAGTCAATGAATAGATATCTCTTTTAAGATCTTTTTTTTGTATGTTTTATAAGTTATTATACTTAACAATCTTTTACACTACCTTTTACAGACAAGTTTTGGGGATGGACTCATCATGTCAAAAACGTTTGACGAAAGAATACCAGCAGCTCACACTTGAACCACCAGCTGGTGTCCACGTCAAGGACGAATCAACACAAGATTTGCGACTTTGGACGGTTCATGTTGACGGTGCTCCTAATACACTTTATGCTGGAGAACAGTTTACGCTCAGAGTAATTTTCTTTTTCTTAAGTGAACAATGGCATTATTAACCTGCAATCAGCTTTCGTTTTCTTTGGAAAAGATTTAATCGAAAAAATTCATAGGAGATTTTATTCATTGTTTAGTAACGCGATTAGAGTCTGAGGTGTGAAACATTGTTTCGCATTTCAGTATATTAAGATAAAATCACAAATGTAACGGTCAGTATTTTTAATTAAACTGTTGCACAGGTTACGTTTTAGTCATAGTTTTCATCATTTTTCTTTTTTTTTTTCAGTTCCGTTTTCCGGATGAATATCCTTTTTCTTCACCAGAGGTTATTTTCATTGGTGATAATATCCCTATTCATCCGCATGTATATTCGAATGGTCACATTTGTTTGTCGATCTTGAGTGACGACTGGACTCCTGCGCTTTCTGTGCAGGCTATTTGTCTCTCTGTTTTATCCATGCTTTCTTCATGCAAAGAGAAAAAACGACCACCGGACAATGCTGTCTATGTGCGTACTTGTAGTAAAAGCCCAAATAATACCCGGTGGTGGTTTCATGGTAATTTTTTTAATTGTAATTATTTCACCGATTTTCTTGCCTCACTAGGTGTTAAAAGCAGTACATTTATGCGAATATGTTCATATCTTTTTATTTTGATTGTTGTAATTAAATTCTTTATATAATAAGTGGTAAAAATTCAGATACACTTTCAGTTTTTTAAAAAATTTTATTTTATTGTTTTTGTTGGTTACTTTGAGATGATCGATCATCGGCACTCACAATATATAAAATTTTCTTTCTGATTTACCGAAAGCTTTGAAATAAGTTCTCTCTTACATTAGTGTTAACTCTTCAATGGTAATTGAATTTTCTTAAATCCTGTTTCTTAAATTTACTTATTTTCTTACATTTCAGATGATACAGTGTGACAAGTATTTGTCAAACTCCGAAAATACAGAGTTAATTTCATCCTGAACATTTCCGTAGAATGCAACAGCTATTTTTTTGTGTTTTCCATATTTTCAGTTACGTTTTTGTCAAGCTTTAGAGTATGAAATGTTTTTGCGGTGTGTGCATTCTTAAAAATAATTCACCCATTCCATGAAAATTTTCAGCCTTACAAAGCTTACGACATTCATTTCTAGGTTTAATCTGTGTAAAAGAAGTAATTGTGCACATACGCTTTTTGAGCAGTACTGTAAAATGTTTTTGGAACATTTTTAATTTTGAATAGTTTTTTTATGCAATTTGTTTAATATTTCAAAAGAATTGCTGAGAAATTCATGTAAAAGTATTTAACTTTACGAAGACATATGTTCCTTGTCTTCGAGTATCAGAAAGTATTAGATATTCTGACGATTTTTTTTATAAAATCTTTTTTAAAGTCACAGCTTCAAATCTGCTGCTATGAATGAAAAGTTATTAGCATTCATGTCACTAAAAGTGAAAACAGTATATGTAGTAAAGTCCTTTTATCTTTCAATGTTATATGTGGTGTTAAAAAATAACCTATGGGTTTTAGATCCTCAGACCCAATGCTTCTTGTAACTTTCTATCAGAAACCTTTCGCACAATTTTTTGTTTCAATAGATGATTTTTTATTATCGAGAAATCTTATTTTAATAAATTCGAAAAGCAGTACTGTTTTTATGTCGTTGTATATCTTTTTCTCTTCCTTACTTTTTAAGAGCGATCATTGTTGCAATCAATTTTTTTATGTGTTGTTAGATTATTTGGATTCAGCCATGCTTTGCAATGATTTTTAAAAAACTTCATTTTATTATATCCGTTAATTACTTTAAGGTAATGATGGTCGACATTTTGCAGTCGTCTTGCAGTTTCATTGGAGATTGAAAACCCGACCAACTCCGTTGATCAAAGCAGATTTGGTTTCGGTTTAGTTTTGTTAAGCTTTGGTTCAAATTTAAATTATAGAACCATATTTCGGAAGGAGACATGCATGTTGTTTCATTCGTCTTTACTTATCGAATACTTGTCTTTAATGTCATCACTTATCATCATTTTTTTAATATCTTATGATTTTTATCTGTTTTCACTTACTTAAAACTTACTTGAATTTACTTAAAAGAATTGTTTTCTCGCTTTACATGGGATATTTCTCATAGTATGGTAGTGGTGGTCTCAGACGCTTTCTGAGGCATGGCTAAGAGATGAAGTCACGAGACCGCGTTAAGATTTGTATGGTAAATCTTGGATTGACTTATTCATGATTTTTAGTTGTAATAACTATATTCAGTCAGTTTATTCAGTTTTCCATTACTATCATTATTGTATTCATTACTGAGGCATTTTATATCATAGAAACTAGTAGTAACACAATAAAATTCTCGGTACTCGTTTTTTCGTCTTAGCGATGGTTTGCAATGTAAGTGTTGAATTGTGTTATATTCTAGCAGCTTTCATAAACAGGAAATTTAAGGATCGTTAAATTTTCCATAGTAGGCTTGTATGTCTTTGTCACTCGATTAATTTCGAATAAGCACGGTTGAAGAAAGGGATCTGGATGGCAGATATAACAATAATCACGGATGCAGTTAGTTACCACAGTCATCATAGTCATATCTGAGAAGATTCTCTGTTTCATTTATCGGAAGCAAGTCTTCAACATAATCTTAGTAATCATGGTCAATGCCAAAACTAATTATGTATCTCTTTTTCCTACTTTTCTTTGTTGCATATCTAGTACGCCTTGTGCGGCGTCCTTTTATGATAAACTCTTTATCCCTTTATTCCTTTAAAGCTCATTTGTAATTATATAAAAAAATAAGTAATTGCCTCTAATGATCAATAACAATTATAAGTTTTTTTTTCTTTTTTTTTCTCGAATTGTCTGTATGAAACGGTATCATTCAATATCTTTTTGGCTTATTTCAAGGTCTACAACATACAGCCTGAGATATCTCAGTATTCTCCTTTAACAGAATTCCCTATTTTATTGAGCGAATGTATATATCAAGTTTTTTGGTCTATCATCGAGGAAAAAAACATCTCCAATGAAATCTCTGAAACTAAAAAAATTCTCCTTTTTGGTTGGTTACATTTATTAGTAAATGTGAGAGTTGGTGTATTGAAGTGTATGTGTATGATGCTTCCTGTCATACTGAAAGTCCGGTTTTGCCGGGAAAGTCGATACTAGGATTAGTCATTATTGATTATTAGAGATAGTTAGTCATTTTTTCAGTTCATTATTTTTATAACCTTAGCATATTGATTTTTGATTACTTTTAGAGGACTTGATTTGAATAGACATTTCGGCTAGTCAAAGACTGCTAGTACTAAGTTCATTTTGCGTTCACTAATATTAATTCATTAACTCTTCTACCGAATGTTCTTTCCTCTTAAGTACGTGCAAAATATTATCGCTTTATTTTCCAAGATTGAATAGTTTAAATTTTGCTTAAATTGTCAAAAATTAACCAGTTGGCAATATCATTTGACTTTATTAGTTGTCAGTTATCAAGTCGTTTGGATTTTAGTTGAACACCATTTTGTTGAATGCCATTGTCTTTGTCTTTGAATATTGAAATATTTCATTAAGATCTTTGAATATTGAAATATTTCTCGCTAGAATCAGTAGGAGCTCATTTTTATAATATTGCGAATAAATTCACAGCTCTGTTACAAAATCGAAATTCAAAATTCGTACTAGTTCTTGTCTAATTCTGATGAACTGATAAGTTCAACTATTACTATTCACATTGAGCTTCTTATTTTATTACTCGTTTAATTTTCCTCTCATTTCTCGATTAAGGTTTTTTTTAACTTTTCAAGTAAAATGAAGTAAAAAAGTAAGATGCATTTCAAGTAAAAAATGCATTTCTGTAGAACTTATTCACAATCAATGAATTAGTACTTTGTATAGCATAATTCTTGTCAAGGGACCATTATGGCATGATGGGCAACAAGCCAACAATCAAGAGTTTTTTTTTTTTGGAATGGGGGGAATGGTCGTCCCATTAATTTGTAACGATATCGTGCTGTCGGATA